ACCAGCAATGGGAAACCGCTTGGGGAAGGTGGTCAGTAGTGAATTAATTCCTGCGCGTAGCATGGAGAGGAAGGGGAGCCAGGGACCATGTCAGAGAGTAGGAATAGTAGAGGGACAGGCCAGCTGTGTTGTACAACATGCCTGGATGAGGATAGTGCAGATGACACATGGAGGTGACCCAGGCAATGAAACCAAAGCTCTCTGAATTCTGCTGGGGTCAGAGTCCGTGGACACAAGTTACAGCACCATTTGGGCTTTCCAAGACTGGAGCAAGGCCTTGCCCTGGGCATGGGGCATGATCTAACAAAAAACCCCCACCTGGCCCACCCTTGGCTCCTCTAAGCAGGACCAGGCTTCCTCTTTGGCTTCATGCCTCAAAAAGAGTGGTTTCATAAGGTTCCTGCCCCTTGCCACCACCCAGAAGCTGGTTGTCTTCTTGCCTGAACCTTGCTTTAGCCTTCAAGCCCCAACCTGAGGCTCAGAAAAGCTGGATACTGATCCATCTCTCTGGATCTTCCTTCAGGTGTCTCCCAACCAGCATTGCCCAGAGCCACCCCATCTCCCATCCCACAGCCAGCCTCTGTGCTGAGCCCGACACACAGGATCAACGCACAGGACACATGGACCCTGCCTCCTGCCCACGGAGGTGGGAATCCATGTCATTCAAGCCTTTTCTGCTCAACATTCACAGCTGCAAAAACAGCAGGAAAACTCCTGACCTCCCAAAACTCAACATCAGGCACCTACCCCCACCCTCCTCTGGTCTACCCAGATGCCCTTGGGGGGGCAGCTGCACCCATTTAGGACAGGTTCTCCTTACCCAGATGTTGCTCTTATGTTTTGAGAGGTGAGGAGACATTCTTTGGGGCAAATTTTATATTTATTTCTCAATCTTCTGAAGTCAGGCAGGTCCCTCTGTTGTCCCGCCAGCAGGAGGTCAGCCCAATGCGCCCATCCCTGGCCATGCTCTCCAGGATAACGGCTCCAGGGGCAGGCATCCGATGACAGTTTGACTGGCAGAGCAAAGCGCGACTTGTGTTTGTTTGGATAGTCAAAGGAGTGGGAACAAATGTCTCTAACTTCATGTTGGTTTAGATAAAAGGGTCCCAGCCTTGTCACAGGATCAACGGGGCTGGTGAGAAACCACTCCTGTAGACCCTGTCTGCCCTCAGACCCTTTTAAAACAGAAAAAAGCATAACAACAACAACAATTATTTATGTTGGAAAAGATCTTTAAGATCATTGAGTCTAAGCGTAAACGTAACACTGCCAAGTCCACTAAACCATGTCCCTGACTGCCACACCTACACACCTTCTGAACACCTCCGGGGATGGTGACTCAACCACCTTCCTGGGCAGCCTGTTCCAATGCTTGACAACCCTTTTGGTGAAGAATTTTTCCTAATATCCAATCTAATAATAATAATAATAATAGAAGCAAGTTTTCACAACTCCGAGAGGCTCACTCCTTTCTGGACCAGGGCACATTGGGGGTGCCAAAAGCAAGGTCAGGGATTGGGGCTACAGGTTTGGGGTCACCTGCGGTCTGGGTGACCAAAAGCTCGGGACATTCTGCTGCTTGGTGCCGTGTGTTTTGCTTCCCAGCCTGACCTGGCTGACAGCCCCTGCCCTCGCAGACCCCATGCCTGGCTGGACACGGTGGTGCCTGGAGCAGGGGACTGGGGGGGACAGGGACGGCCGCATCCGCATCCATCTGGCATACTGAAGCAGCGAATGGAGGAGAAGGAAGGAGGGGGTGGGTAGAAGAGAAAATCCCAAAGATCCTGGGATAATAAGCACCATTAAGGTTAGTCTGTCTCATGATTGTTTCTTATTAAAAAGAGACTGTACTTTATCTGTGCAGGATATGCTGTTTGGATGAGGGAATTAGCAGAGTGACTGCCTCCATATCATCTAATTAGCAAAAATGTTGATAAGCAGATACAATCACATATGATTAGGATCCTTTTAAAAAGCCACTCCATTAATTAAATAGACAGAAAGGCCGCCTCCAGCCCTCGCGTGCCACTGATTAGAATACAAATATTTACACTAATCTCACCTCCATCAGCCATGGGACACTTTTGAGTATTTTTAGTGACATCAGATTACTATTGATTTTCATCCCCAATGTCAGACCATTTTGTTAGTATCTGAAAGTGCTGCCTTCGGTTTCGGATGCTTTAAATCATGTTAAGGGTTTATCTTAATGACGCTGCTGATAACCACTGTTCAGGTCACTCGTACTTTCTCTTCAAAGAACACAGTCTGGGCTAGTTTTTATTGTTTGTACTTGAGATTTAAGATATGAAAAACATTTCTCATTTCAAAGCCTTGGTTTCTAGGGATGGGGCTGGCAGGCTAGTTTGGGTCTAGTTACTCGGTGTGTCCATGTCTCTCTCATTTCCCTTTCTTCCTGCCTCTCCTCAACCATTTCTTCCTTGCAAACCCTTTTGGCTCGCAGCAGTGACCTCTTTTGAATGGCTGCTAATCTCTGACGCCTGCTGCAGGCAGCAGACAGACAGGCAGTGAGCGTCCCCCGTTCGGGGATGACAGGAGAAAAACACTCCCTACTTCTCAGATGGGTAGGACGCACTAAATCCAAGGCAGATAATCCAGTGCGCCAGCCAGTCTGAGATGGGTGCTCATCAGCAAAAGCAAGAACGGGAGGAGACGATTTGCAGAGAGACAGCACAAGGCAGAATCACCTCCTTCCTTCCACGCACAGCCCCACTCCCTGCAGCAGATAATCAGCTTGGGACCCTCCACCAGGCTTTTCTGATGTCTCATTTTCCCTTTCGGGTAACAGAGAGTAGGAACAGCAATTGCTCTTTGCAATTTCTGCCAAGCATCTGCAAATGGACCACACTGGCAGTGGCCAGGAGCTGTTGGCACCTTTCAGAGGCTTGTGGGTGGTAGGCTTGGATCACCCTCAAGTCCTATGGACAATCCTAAAAAAATACTAGCCCAAATAAACAAGTCCCCTTGGTGAAGTTTTCAAGCAAAGCACTGCAGCGTGAGCGAGCCATGAAGCCTTAGCTCCCCTCCTGTGCAGAAGAGTGCTTTGGGAGTGCAAAGAGCCCTCCGAGCTCAAATGGGCAGCAGCAGCAGCTCGGCTGCTGGTCCCAGATTAACTTTTGCCATTGCTACAGTACAAGCAACACCCAGCAGGAAAATAATTCACGGGGCACAACCACCCTGTAGTTTAGAAAACCTCCTCTGTGCAAAAGGAGGCAAAAGCCAAGATCTCCCCAGCGAGGTGAGCCCATGGGACCTTGAGCTCCTTCCTTGCTTTGCGCTTCCTTCAGCTCCAGCCTCCAGACCAGCACTGCCCTGCCTCATGGCAGCTTGTACCCCCAGAATGCGACAAATAACTCCATGCTACTGACCCAGGGAGAAAACCAGCAGAACAAAGCCCTTCCCCAACACACATCAGCTCAATTGCCTTTCTTCCTTCCTCTGGCAGATTGCTTTCTCCAGGCTGACGTGGTTGCCCCTTAGCTTCACGGCCCCCCTCGTACGATGGATGTTAGGACAGCAGCCAGCTCATACGCTGCACATATGCTCTCTGGTCTGGCTGACTCTTGACTCCTTCCCAAAGTGTGGGATCACAGAAATGAGGCCAGTGATCGGCAACACACGCTGCCGTTAGTAGGTGTTTACAACATGGTGTTACACACAGATGAGTTCTCCTTACCGGCACTTCCTCGGAGACCTCCTTCATGCAACGGTTCCCTGTGAGGATATTGCGCTTCCCACAGGAATGGCAAATCCAGGGATCAGAAGCAAATGCAGGAGAACCCAAGGCTGGATCCTCAAAGTTCAGCTCCTCAGGCTGAACTTCTCTGTGTTGAGCTCATGGAGCATCGCTATTGTACATGCACACACCTTGGGAGAGATTCCCAAAAAAGCACGTAGAAAAGGGGTTAAGGTTGTCAGTGAGCTTCATCCTGGGCATTTATTTTGGTACCAACATGAGAGCTAAGCTCTGCTGGAAGAGTTAGGTTTGGCTCTACACTCAGAAGAGATCACGATGGTCATCTGATCATGATTTTAGGAAGAGGGCCCACTCTGGGTTTAAAAACGGCCACATGAAGAGGTTCCGATGACTCATTACCTTCATAATAAAAGATGTGCCACTTATTTGGAGTTTAAATTTGGCTAGTGCCACCTTCCAGCTCCTTTCTCCGGGAGCCTGAAGATCCCTGTGCCATGGGATTTCTGTTCCCGTGCAGGATCTTACAGACTATGATGAAGCTGGCACTGAACTTCCTCTTAATACTAAGATGCTTTCCCTGAGAATCTCCCTCCAGAGAATATTTTCCAAACCCTTAATTACATTTTATGGCTCTTCCCTGAGCCTTCTCCAATTTATCAACGCTTTTCCCAAACTGTGGGAAGCCAAACTGCAAACAGCTTTCCTATAGCTGCTGCTGGAGCGTAAAATGCCCCGTAGGGGTAGTACGACCTCGCGACACCACACTTCCCTGGACTGCATATAAAACCACACTGAGTGTCTGAGAATCCCACCTTTGGGCAGGTGGAGGCAAAAAATAATTCGACAAAGTCGTATGTCACAGCTGTGACATCACAGCTACATCAGGCAGCTACAACTCACGTCTACGATCCGCATTTAGGAACGTCTACGATCCGCGTTTAGGAACGTACGGCCAGTGACACCCAGCTCCACCCTAGAATGGAGCCGGGTCAACTGAGCCACGATTGGGTGCGACCCCTCTGAGGTCACAATCTCATGATCTGTGGACAACAGGCTGAACGAGAAAGGAGGCGGTCAGGCAGCACGGTTCTCCCTGCGTGGCCTCGTAATGCCAAAGGACAGAGCAGGTCAAGGGATGAACTGACCACCTGCCCCTGGGGCTGAGGAGCACAGCGGCAGCAGGTGTCCAGGAGTCTCTGCGTGCTGATCATCCCTGGGCTTCACATCCTCGGTGGGAGAGAGGTACCAGGGATCTTCCGAATGGCCGCACATTTCCTTTGAGATGGTGGATTATTACAAAGTCCTTGGACTGCAAAAAAGTGCCTCACAGGATGACGTTAAGAAATCCTACCACCGACTGGCACTGAAATGGCATCCTGATAAGAACCTCAGCAACAAGGAGGAAGCTGAAAAGAAATTCAGAGCAGTCACCGAGGCATACAAGGTTTTGTCCGACCCCCATAAACGATCGCTCTATGACAGCTCTGTTAAGGAGAGCAGAGCCCACAGAGGAAGAAGTGCCGCAGAGGGTCATGATGAATCCTTTAGTTCCCCTTGCGCAGTCAACGACCTCAAGGAGATGGTTAGGAATCTCTTTGGAGGGATGGACTCCTTCCACGACACTGGAAACAATGGTGAAAACTGGTACAGGACACATGGAAGAAGAAGGTCCAGCCTGTCTCCTGACTGTATGGAGTCATGTGCACCATGGATGTCATTCAACCCTGCCGCCTTCTTTGCTGAGAACACAGCTGGGCCACACCTAGTCAGATCAGTGTTAACCACTACTAAACTGATCAATGGCAAGAGGATAACCACCCGGAAAACCATCGAGGACAGGAAGGAGACAATAGAAGTGGAAGAGGACAGCCAGCTGAAGTCTGTGACAATAAACGGGAGAGAGTTCAAGATATAACGTCCTCCAGCACAAGCGTTAACTGCAAGCTGTGGGATGTGCTCTCATTGCTCAACGGATGGGATCTACTACAAGCAGGGTTAATAAACTCTGAGTTGATGACACAAGCAATGCAGACATCTCAATGGTTGGTAACAAATAATTCCCAGGTAAAGGTATGGAGTTATGCTAAACTAAGGAGTGGGACTCTACTAACCCTGTGTAAGGTGACAGATAGTGCTCGTTCGGTTAATAGGTGTAGAAGATATATGTGAAAGCAACCTTGCCGGTTTGCCAAAGAGACCAAGTTGGTTAACGTAGCAAGAGGAGATAGGCTAACTGATAGACAGGTAAGAGCGCTCTATGACAAGCTATAGGTCCTCTTCCCACTCCTTGAAATGCCGATCTTGTAGTCTGCTAGCTGGAGGAATAAAGAGCTGTGTGACCCTCCTACACAACCCTGAGGCTGAGTGAAGAGTATCCTACCTGTGGTGTATGAGAAGATGCATGTTCATGGAGAAAAGTTTCTGTGCACGGGCAAGGAGGAGGTTCAGTGGGTCATGCAGAGCCTAGAGGAGAGGGACTGGCACAGGAAAAACCAAAGGAAGGAAGAAAATGTCATTCCTCAGACTGTAGAAGAAAATGGGGGCCTTCTTGAGAATGCCCTGCAAACTATGACCAGTGTTCCTGATGGAAGCACTGTGCAGCTCGGGGGCTGAAAGTGAGCAGGCAGAAGGTGAATTTGGCTCTTGGACTAGGACCACCTATGGTCCCTTTCTGCTTGGAGTCATTCAGACAAAAAGAGATAAATTCAAACCATGAGCAGACAGATTCCAGGGGGCTGAGTTTAGCTCCCTCTTTGTGCAAAGCTGGATGCGGAGACTTAGATGGTCCTTTACTGTCCTTATTGTCTTGCTCACAGCTGCAAGAGCCGGCTCACAATGCATTTCTTGCACAGCCTGCCAGCATGCTGCTTTCGTCCTCCGCTGAGCTAAGGAACGCGCTCCCCATGTTTCCGCCCTCCCCTGCGCTGACATGAACTGCTGAGCCTTGTTTCTAGCTTGGCCAGATCACCTTAGGCATTTAAAATCTTACACGCCTCTTATTTTCGGTCCCACGCTCCATCCCCTTGAGTTTCTCAGCTTGCCCTGCCCACTGATGTCTCCCCGGAGACTGGAACTGGCTTTCAGGGACATTTTCACTCTAATGCAGATTGCAATTGCTGCCTGCATTTGGGCAGGTCTTTGCATCTGTTTCCTCTGCTGTAAAATGGGAATAACAGACTCCCATGCTTGGAAGGAGACTGTGAGGTGGTGCTACTGGTAAAGGACTCCGAACATTAAGCAGTAAGTTAAATTAGCCAGAACACTGCCACCCCTTAATCAAAACCTTTTACTTTTGAAAATAAAAATGTAGCTTAACTCACCTTCCTTAGCAACTGATACCATGCCCAGCCTGGGAAAACAGACCCAAACTGTATTTGTTATGTTAAGGGCTGTTAACTCCCTAGAAGTCCCTCTCCCAGTAAGAAAAGGACACAGCACTGGGAGGCAAGCAGAAGTCTAAGCGCATGCTGGGTTCATGGAGGGAGGCCAGTGGTGATGGGAGCAGGGAAAACCTCGGTGCAGGGACAAACCGCATCTGCTGCCCCGCCACAGTGTGGGAGCCATCAGCAGTCCTACAGGAATGTGAATCCAAGGATTGCAAAGATTTAAGGGGCTTGGTACAGAATGGTTATTTTGGCTGGAGCAAACACAGGTAAATATTTCTACTCTCTCCGTAGACTCCACGTGAGATTGCTTCTTGAATTTACCTTGTACTACTTTGGAGGAAGTCCAAGGCAAAAAAAAACCCCAAACAACAAATACCCAAACTGCACATTTTAGATGGGAAACTGAAATGGTCTTTGATCAAAATAACAATGTTTTACATCTGGACCAGAGTTGAATACCCAGGTCCTGAACTTTTCCATCTTTCTCAGGCTGTAACTTTGCCCCAGTCTCATCTCTAATCATTTTATGGATGCACATCAATATTTCCTGATCTAAGATATGCAGACCTACACACATCTTGGACCTGTCCTGCACTGGGTCAGCAATCCTCTATCAGTATCTAAGGCAGCATCTAAGGGCAAGCACTTCCCATTCCCATCCCGCATCCGAGCGTTTCCATTGCCGCTTGCCGCAGCAGAGCGCTCCTGGGACAGCTCTGGCAGCCGCACGTACCAGGAATAGGGGAACATGGACTGGGAAGGTATCCAGCTCACCCAGTAAGTGCTGAGTCCAGGAGGACCTGCAGATGCTCTTCCACATCTCCCTGTGCACTGCAAGCCACAAAACACCTCCCAGCACTCTCCAGGAGCAAAAGTCCATTGCCGCTTGCCGCAGCAGAGCGCTCCTGGGACAGCTCTGGCAGCCGCACGTACCAGGAATAGGGGAACATGGACTGGGAAGGTATCCAGCTCACCCAGTAAGTGCTGAGTCCAGGAGGACCTGCAGATGCTCTTCCACATCTCCCTGTGCACTGCAAGCCACAAAACACCTCCCAGCACTCTCCAGGAGCAAAAGATCTGAGATTAAAAAAAAAAAAAAAAAAAGAAAAGACAACCATAAGGGTCTGGTGGTAGGAGAGCAGGTCAGGCTGTGTTAGGAAAGTCCTGCAATAGCAGGAAATCTGCCAGGTGTGCCCAAACCACCCCTGGAAACGGGCTGTGCCTGCGCTACAGAGAGAAATGAACCCCAGCAAAC